CCAGAAGCTCCCCCCTCACTACTTAACGATGGAGGCGTTAGCGAGGGTCAATCATTCATCACGTGATTCATTGGGGTTTATACCAAGGTGCCTTTAGACACGTCTGTCACTTAGTACTTGGTGCAGGATGGAGCAACAGGTGAGTAGGATGCGATAGACATCATGGAAGGGGGTTTGGATTCAAGCACTTCATATTATAACTGGGGAACTATTTACTAGAGTGGTATGCACATACATATAGCAGAGATAATTGGATCTGAACATGAAGTTGGTAACCTGAAGACATGCGGGAAGACAACTTCTAGAGGTCCCAAGCCCCAAATAAAATTCATAAAAATATGCTATCATTGTGGACAACTGTCATATCCCGGATCTTCCACCTTCCTCTGCCCTATTCCTAGATGACTGCTATAACCTCCACCAGCCCTCCCAATCTCTCTCTGCTGTCTCTGGTCGATGCCAACGATCCTAGAACTACCTCCTCCTTTGACACTCTCCCACTCCACCTCCCATCTATGTCCACACCACCTCTGGAACCCCTATATTGTTTTGGTAAGTTACTGGAGCACTGACAAGCTGTCAGGAACCTCAGGACCATACCTCAACTCTCACTCCTACCTCTGGACCTCCCCTACCACACCTCCACCTCCTCAAACCTCTTGTTCAAAGGAGATGGATTTACTTGTTGTTGGTAACCCTCAATTTGCCCATCCACCCTCCTTCTTACTTCTGGTCTCTGCACCTCCAGTACCTCCCCACTCCTACCTTACCTCTGGTCATGTTATTCTTTATTGTTTTATCATTTGATATTTTCTACAACCCCAATCTTCTGGACTACAACTTCCAGGCTCCGGACCTTTCTGGACATCGTCCCCAGTAGTCCCCTGCTCATTCTTAGATGGGCCCAGGCCTTACCATTCAGTTGGCTTCTAATCCTCCCACTCCACAAACTTCAGACGTAATTCGGGTTTTTCACCTATTCTATATTTGTCCTGTGGAGTCATTCTATTTACTTCTGCTTCCCCTTGGTAACCTTTGTTTACCTCCTTATATCTCACTCATTTCTTTATGGTTTTTCACGTTCTTAGCACCATAAATTTACATTTATTCCAACTTTTCTAACGGTACTAAAGTCATACTCTAACTCTCAGTATTTGCCAAGTTAGCAAAAGTTCACGTGCACAGTCGGTAATCACATGTGTTGTTCTCATACTCATTTGTACATGGGCAATGTTTGTGTTTAATTATTTGGGATTTATTGTATGCATGGGCATTTGTAACCTTACTATGGGCTTTCATGATTTATTTCAGATTTTTCCATCATGTTCTAAGGTGTTTTCGCATTCTCCGTGCTTTGTTTTGACTGGAGTCTTCCATATTTGGACAGAAATTGGTCTTCGCAATCTCCTGAAGTGTGGATCTTGGTTCTGACAGCCAGTTCCCTTCGCATCGCCACCCTCATGTGTCCTGTTACAAAAATGGGGCCAGAGGCACCCATTTTCGTCTGTTCTGGTGCAGGAATAGGGAAGGGGATTGGACATAAGGGTTTACAGGTGGTTTCACAGATGGTTTAACATGTTGTTTAACAGGTAGTGTGGCAGCGGGTTTTTAGATGGTAATAGTAGGATAAACTCCATTTATTTACATATCATGTGATTTGGGTGTGTGCAGGGCCCATAAGAGTCTAAATTGGGAAATTTCCCATTTCCCATAACATGTCCTTTGACATAGTGTGGAATACTCTATTCCCATCACTGGCATAACTTCACAACAGCTGGGCCGATTGGCCTGAAACTTTGCATAGTGCTAGTATCTGATTTATCATATTTTCCATGTAAATTTCGTTATGTGTTTTAAATATGAATTTTGCATGAACGTCGGCTTTTCCCTGAGCTATGACTTCAATGTTGCTGAACCCGTTAATGAATATCTCCTTTATGCATGAACCTTTTACTATGAGATTTTGCGTGGATTGAGAATAGATCCCTTCCTTTCCAATGAGCTATCAAACTCGTCTTGGTCGTTACTGGTTGTCCTTCACGCTGTAGGCAGGCACAGCTGGTACTGCACAAACAAACCAAATATCGTGATTTCCCCATCCCTGCACATCCCTGCTTCATGAAAAACATCATACACGTCCTCATATACTATTCCTACCCTTCCATGATTTCTTCCTATTTTTCCAGACACATTCCCAGTCCCCGCAGACCAAATTCCCATGCCCACCCAGCAGCGTGGCCACACTCAGACTGGATTTCACTTATCTCAGCAACCACTGGACCGATTTGGACGATATTGGTACCGTTGGAAACGCATCATTTAGGAGTGTTAGGATCCATGATTAGCGGGAGTTCATTGGCGATGGATAGAGTTGGGTATTTTTGGTTGGATACCATTTATTGTTTTATTGTTTTCTTGGTTATTGTTTTCCCTCCCATTTTCCGATATTGATTGTTGCCCATATGGTCCACCTAAGCACATGGGGCACATCGCATATTTTTCATCATTTTTCCTGATCATTTCTCATATATACTGTACATGAGGATGTATCTACCTTTTCCTTTGGATTAGAAACTACTGAGTTTGCCCCTCCCAAGCTAGTAGGGAGTAGTACGACCAAGAATACGATTAAGAAGACCTCTAGATCAGTCCTCACCTTAGTGTCACCCAGAGAGGTGGGGTGAGAGATTGATTAGAGAACACCATGCACCACACTGGACCATTATCACCATTACCATTACCACTTTTTCCCTGACCTGCTGGATACCAATCTGGTCCCCATCCTTTCCTGTTTGCCTGCTGGGTTAGATCCCTAGCCCGCTTACAGCGCTTGCCTTTTGAATGTTGTCCTTGTTTCCCACGAATTTCGGCTATTTCTCCATTGTCTATTGGTAGTTTTTCCTGAAACCACCCCCACCGAGTCTATCTAAAAGGCATATACATTCCTTATTATAAACACAACATCGAGTTTTGCATTGGTTCCTACAGAATCCTTGTTCTGTGGTACATACTTCCAGCCTCAGCTACATGTGCAGGCATGGGAAAGCAGTTTCCATGGAGGTTTTCTGGTTGGTTTTATAGTCAGATCTTACCCGATTGGCCTTGTTCCTGCTTTGATATTCGCTATAAATTCTCCTGAGCATTCCGTCTTGTTGATGCTAAGTGTGAAGTATTTTTGTTCATTTTCCATATTCATATTTGTCATATGTAGTCATAAAAATTTGTAAAAATTTGTGAAAATTTGTTAAAATTCAAGTTCCTCTATAGTCTCGTTTCTACTTGTTGTATGGTGGTTTTATGATTTTTCTGGCATATTTCCATAATGAGGTTTCATAGAGTGACCATTATTTCTCCTACACCATGATCAGTTTTTTCAATTACAATACAATGCACAAGCACTTCAACACCATTCTTTGTCAAATGTATTGCCAGCACTGTCTTCCAACCCATCGTCATTGTCGTCGCTGTTGTCAACACCACCAAAGTGAATCTTCACTAGTTTCATGTATTTTTTCTTCATTCTTTTTGTGTAGTCACTCATATCTTCTCTGCTAATACCATGTATCACCACTCAAGTCTTTCTTCACCATTTTGTTGAGTTATAATATTAAGGCTTGCAATCTCATGTTTCCTCATCTTTGGCACACAACATCTAGGAATGTAGTATGAAAGGTGTGAACAATACTCAGTCCTTCTTACAGAGCGATGTGACCTGTATATTGCCTTTTTGGTACAAACTCGCTTCTCAATCAACTAAAAACAGTGGCAATATTGAAGTGTTGGGGCACTGGCTGGTATGGACACATGGCTGGAAAAACCTTCATGTCTCCCTGCATCGCTAGTGGATTTGTCCCATTGTCATTGATGCTGATGCAAGCTGTCTCCTCTTTCGCGATTTTGAACCTTGTGTCACATTTGTTGCTTTACATTTAGAACTTTCTGTCAGGGCACAGCCCTTGACCCCACTCACCCTCAGACACCCTCACCCTTCTCCTAACCACCCTCCCTCCACATTTCCCCATTCCCCTTATCCTTCCCCCCACTGTTTCACATAATGACGCGCGCGCGCGAACCCGTGGGAACGTTCTGGGCGAGCAACTTGCCCAGAAATGTACAGCCACAACCGTGGGAACATTCTGGGCGAGCAGCTCGCCCAGAACTTTCCCACGGGTCACACCCGTTATGGAAAGTCGGCAGCAAGCGGGAACTGTATAGTTCCTAGGGTCCTTTTGTGTCGGCCTCACAGGGGGCTGAGAAGCTTACCCTTCTTCTCAGCTCATTCCCTGTGAAGGCTGAGGCCAGTCCCCTCAGCGACTTCGAGGAGTTAGCACCTGGGGAGAGTACCCCAGCTTCCACACCCGGCCTCGCCCTCCAGCCACTCCCAGCTGGGGTCCGGATCCTGACACTTTCACTGGAATCCTTTGATCAGCTGGTTAAGCTTCAGATTCAACTTACTGTTGGCCCTGACATATGAGGTATCTTACAAGGGTGAGAGCCCTCGAGAACACTGACTTCTCTTTTTAAACAATTGATCTCTTTCTCAAGGTCGTCACATTTGTCTTGGAGCCAAGATTGGTGACAAGAAGAATTTCTCAACTTGAGATTGAGATGAATGTTCTTGATCTTGAGCCTGTGGAGATTCTCCTGAAGCTCCTTATTCTCGTCTTGGAGGCTATTAGCCTTGTTGCAAGATTGGGAAAGTTCACCTTCCAAAAGGCGAACTTGTTGGCTTGCTTCCTTGAGAAGGTTGCCTAACATTGAGTCATTTGAGGCCGCAATGGGCAGTCTCGCTGGCTCTCACTGCATGTGGGGATTATACCCCCACATGCCTGGGGCAAACATTGGATTGGTGGCAGGAGAGAAGGAGCAAATTTCATCCATGGGAATATTAACGAACCCTTGGAAGCAATTTCCACTTATGGCAAATAATGCCATAAACAGCCTTCTGATGACTGCAGGACCATTCCCAAGCAGGCAGGCCATCAGGGACAGGTAAGGGCTTACATGGCAGTCTCTACCTGGTCATTTGCAGGGGTTGAGAACTGAGTGGCATCGCACTGGGTGGCATCAGATTGGGTGGCATTGGACTGGATGGCATTGGACTGGATGCTGTTGGACTCGGTGGTGGCCAATGCTGTAGTTCCTTCAGCATTGCTTGCTGCATTCAATGTAAGTCCAGCAAGCTCTTCACGCTTCCTCTCCAATTGGTCTGCTGATAACCTGACCCACTTGATCCGACCCCCTTTCCATCCATCAAGTACTTGATGCAGATGGACAGCATTGGCAAGCTTGGGTTTGAACAGTTTACCATCTGGGTAACTGCTCATGTCAATCACAATGCCATGTTTGATTGTCAGCCTCGAGTAATTCTCTGGAACCCATTCCATCAACAATCTTGGTTTCTCAGTTAGTTCACCTTCATGTTCGGTCAGGACTTGTCAGAAATGTTTGATTGTGCCACTCATGGAGGCCCTGCCTGGTTGCCTCAGCCACTTTGGAGCGCAAGGATCCAACTTTTACTTTGCAGACCTGAGCCAGGGCTTATGCCTTTGTTGGTGAGCAGTTCATATCAGATCAGATCAGTCACATACTGTCCAATGCCCTGATTGTGTGTGCCTCCATCACTCAAAGATGCCATCCCATGTCTTGGCATGCCACAGTGGCCCAGTAATTCTTTGCTTTGTCCATCCCCCAGAAAACTGGTACAAACAAGTCTTCAGCATGGCCTCAAGTCATCATGATGAGGTTCTCGACACCACACAACTTGTGAACCTTTTTTGCCTATTATTTTTTAGCACCAAACCCTTGCACCTGCTTTACCACTGGACACGTACGATGCTTAATAGCTTGTCTCGTCTGTGTGTAGCAATGGAGTTCATGGATAGTTCAGGTGAGATTATCGTTTCCTTCAGTGTGTGATTTTCCCTTTTCACCATGATACCATCCAGGATAACTTTAGTGTTGTATTCCTCTGTTGAGGTCATTGGCTTTCTGTAAGTTATTTACTTAATCACACTATATGCGCGATATTATGTTTGCCTCACACTTCCAGACCGTCGAATATGCTATAATGGGCTGTATTTTCAACAGGGAAGTAAAGGCTAATTCACCCTTGCAACATTCCCATGCTTCCATATATATACAATGTTCATACATATTTATTATGCAACAAATATACAATAAAGATATAGGATGAAGGATGGGGCAAGTGTTGCCACCACTCCTTACACTTTCATACATCATCATACATGATTCTCAGTTCGTTGATATCATCAAGAATCTGCAAATAATATTCTTGCATGTAGGGCAGCTTCAGCTCTACACCCTCTAGAGTTTTCATAGTAAGCATACACCCTCCTTGTTGATTTTTTTTTACCTTTCAAGTGTCGTGCCTCAGCCTCAGCATGAGCCCATGCATTAGGGAGCATAGGCTTGCATGTTGTCTTGGTTTTGACAATTTATAGATTACCTGGTTTTGGATTTGGTGTGGGGAACAGTGGTGACTATGATGTGAAAACTCAAGTGCAATAGCGGATACTTGGGCTTCAAAGTTTTCCCTTAGCTGCATGATTCACTTGTTGAACGCCTGCTTGACTAGGTCTGCTCCTTTCTGTCTAGCTGCTGGCACTGTGGGCACACTAGTAAGCTATCCTACTTAGACTTGAACTTAGCAACTCTGACGCTACCTTGCTGTGAAGGGGCTGACATCTTGGAGTAAATCTGTCCAAAAACAATGTGACCAGGAAAACAAATAAACAATAGCAAACCATTTGTCATTTACTTTCAAATCAGGGCCCTGGTTTGTGTATCTGTTCTTATGAATTGTAATGAGAATACTGAATGGTTTTTTGGTGTATTTTCAACAGTAAAAGAATAAGGAAAATTACACATTTGCATTGTTGAATCTAATGCATTCTGCCACCTTGGCAAGTAGGCATGCCTCGCTTGGTGAATGATCAAAGCGTTTCTCAAGCATATTGCAATAGTCAACCTCGTTGAAGTCCTTGGATTGAGCCAAAAGAACAATCAGGTTCATGTCTGTTTCAGTAAGCTCTCGATCTCTATGGAGATGTTCATGAACTTCAGGTGATGAAACAGGTGGCATATCCATTAATTGCCCCAATGTCAATGGGTCCATTGTGCTTGGGTTGTGCAAGTTGCATTGTGGACTGCTCCGCTGCAGACTTTTGATGTAGCTGTCAGGGGACGACTCCCAGGTCCCCATGACCCTCCCCTATGGCCCACAGCCTCAAGTCTGGCCAGCCCTATCCAGGGCACAATCCTACTGTGGGTCAGAGATGAGAAGGAAGTTAACCTCCTCATCTTCCCACAGTGGCCACAATATCGAAAACTTCCCGGGATACCCGGAAGTCACATGAGACCCGAGACCCAGGGCCCGGGGCATCCAGCCGCATGGAGCGTCCGGCACAGGGCGCACACAGGAAGTGCAACAGCCGGGTGTGGGTGCAGGTGCAGGTGCAAGTGCAGGTGTGGATGTGGGTATGGGCTAGGTCAGGGTGTATGCCCTGACCGTAGCCTGGGCTACTGTTAGAACGGGCGGATTCAGACGACTCCGGAGTGGAATCGGAGACTTAGCGTGGAGGGACCTTGGCCTCAGCGACTCAAGCGGAGCGCTGTGCCATTGCTGTTTGTCCATTTGGTCCTTAATTTCACAGTAGGTGAGCAGGAAGTCTCTAGGGGGCATTTCAGGTCGATTTCGGACTAAACCAAAACGAGTATGTACAAGCGCCGATATATATAATGGAAGGGGCAAAAGCACAAGGAAAACAAAGGGTAACCGAATCGGAACGAAGACGTCCGAACGGGAACAAAGGGTAGAAGGAGCGGAGCGGTACCGAAGGTCATAAGGCAGGACCTGTGATACATCCGAAAGGAGGTAGGGAGGGCGAGGCCCAGAGGGGCAGGAGGATGAGGGGAAGTGGGGATGATGACTAACTGGCTAGAATAGGAAGAAGCAGTAGTCCAAATAGGGATGAGGGGAAAACGCGAGAAATACATTACAAGTGGCGAGAGTGCCGAAGGCGATCCGTGAAGCTCGGGGGTTGCGGAGCTTACGGAGGTTACGGAGGCGGGGTTGAAAGTCCGAGGGATATTGGCAATGGTGTTTACGTAGTATGAGGTCACCAATGCAATGGACTAAGACCGAGGTGGAGTCAAAGTCCGAGGTAGGGACTATGACGGAGGCTCGGAGTAAGGTACGAGCGGTGTCCGAGTGCGAAGTACGGAACAGCGGTGGAAGGTCATAACTTGGCAGAAGGGTGGCGGAGGAGTAACAGAGGGAGGAGAGAGGGGAAAGGTAAGGAAGAAGGAGTGGCGGAAAGGAGAGTAGTCAGGTCTGAAGGTGAGTATTGGAACAGACGGGGGAAGCGTAGGGGGATGACGGGAGGGTGGAGGTGTTGTGGAGGGGGAGCGGAGTAGTAGGAGGTGGTGTGTTGCCAGGACCGAAGGTGAGTATCGGAACGGCAGCGGTAGGTTATGACTCCGGAGGTGAAGATGGTGGAGGTCCGGAAGTCGGGTCGGGGTCGGGTATGCACGGATATGACAGCTACGTTGTTGAGCTGTGGACTTGATGAAGTGGGCGCTTGTCAGGGACCGACCTGGGGTTGAGAGTGTCTGGGTATGTTGCCCGGGGCTGAGGGCCCAGTAGAGTGTGATGTGGGTGCACATAACAATGGGCCCGATGCAAACAGGTGTCCCTGGCCACTTGGGCTAAAGTGGGAAGTGTGAGAAGAAGGTTGCTTCTCAGTTCCCACTTAGGCTGTGTTTATATACATGTGGTTAAGGCCATGTCATCTATGCACACAGCCACGTCCATCCGGGTATCTCCGCAAGAGATCCCAGGAGTGCCCAGTGTGCGGGAGGTCACCCAGCAGGTCCGGGTTTGGGCATGTCGTACTGCAGCCAGGTCAATGGTACACTGATAGAAGGGAAGTCGTCTGTGTAATAAGGAAAGAAGAAAGAAGAGAGAAAAGAGAAGGAAGAAAGAAAGAGAAGGAGGAGGAAGTAGGGAAGGAGTGGGTAGCAGGGGACCGGGTCAGGTGGGTAACGGGGGACCAGGTCAGCTGGGGCCAGGTCAGGCGGGTGTGCCCTGACATCACCCCCTCCTTAAGCCGCTTCACCTTGAAGCGGCCAGGCGGTTCTCCCTCTCTCTTCCTGGGGCCTGGGGGTGCATCCTGTGGAACTCCTCAATCTGGTTGGGGGCATGGGCTAAGTGGTCCGACTGGAGCCATTGGTTCTCTGAGCTTGGCCAGCCCATGAACTTTACCAGATACCAGAGTTTCCGGTGTAGCCATTTAGAGTCCAATACTTTCTCAACTTCGTACTCCTCTTCTCCAGCTACAAGTTCCGGGCCCGGGCAGGGGTCAGGGGGTTGTTCTGCAATCTCATCCGGGCGGTGGGGTCTTATGTTCATCATGGACACAACTGGGTGTACTCCCTTCTGCTGTGCAGTGAGTTGGAGCTTGACAGCAGCTGGGGAGATGACCTTGACGACTTTGAAGGGGCCTAGCCACTTATGGTCCAGCTTCTTGGTTGGATGGTCAGTCGTATAGTTTTGGGTGCTGAGCCAGACTCGGTCACCTTCCTGGTACTTGGGGGCTGCCTCCCAGCCTCAGTCATAGTAGTGGGCCATCTCATCCGCTGCGTGCTCCAGAGCTGCCTTTGCCTCCTCCTGCATCTTCATCATCCTGGATGAGAAAGCGTCAGCAGCTTCTACCTCAGATGTACATGTGGGCTCCGTCCCCATCCTGGGGTGCTGCCCGGTGTCAAGCTTGAAGGGGGTTCAATGGGTGGATGAGTGGACATGGTTGTTGTAGGCAAACTCTGCCAGTGGGAGCCAGTCCGCCCAGTCGTCCTGGTGGTGGTTGACGAACACCCGGAGATAGGCTTCGATCTCCTGGTTGACCCATTCCATCTGTCTGTCAGTCTGGGGGTGGTAGGGTGTTGAAGGGGTTAGTTTGACCCCTAGGAGGTCTGTGAGTTCCCTTGAGAAGCATGAGACGAAGGTGCTTCCCCTATCACTGAGGATCTCCTCGGGGAGCCTGTGGTGCTTCCAGACATGCTCCAGGAAGAGCCAGGCGATACCAGCCGAATCCACAGATGTCACAGTGGGGATCACATGGATACATTTGGACAGGCAGTCCACTACAACTAGGATGGCATTATATCCCTTCGACTCTGGGAGCTCTCCCACCATGTCTACTGAGATCACCTGCCAGCGGTGGGTGGGGACTTTAATTGGGGTGAGCTTCCCAACCTTTCGTGTGGGGAAGGTTTTGACATGGTTACAGGTGTTGCATCTGCGTACATATCGTCCAACGTACTCTGCCATCCGAGGCCACCAGTAGTTGCAGGAGATGAGTTCCAGGGTTTTCCATCGCCCTGGGTGCCCTGTTGCCTGTGCATCGTGGTGTAGCGGTACCAGATCATGGCGGAGTTGTGGGTCTTTCGGAACATACACCCTACCCTGGTAGAGGACCAACTCTCCCTGTTTTTCCCACTCATCCGACCTCTGCGTCCCTTCTCCCAATTCGCTCATGGCCTTCACCACCCATTCATCATGATCCTTCGCTTCTCGTATCCTCTCCAGAATATCTGCTTCCTCACCCTCCACTGAGACTGCCTCTGTCACATGGGCCTCAAACCAGCCTGGCTGGAGGAGTGTCAGCCCCTCGTTGTCATCTCTCCCCTTCGGGTGGTCAGCACATCGTGAGAGCGTGTCCGGTTTCCCCATGAGTTTCCCTGGGCAGTGGATGAGGGTGAAGTAGAAGCGGGAGAGGAAGAGGGACCACCGTGCTTGGTGTCAGTTCAGCCTCTGGGCTGTGTGGAAGTACCCCAGGTTGCGGTGGTCCATGTAAACCTCGACCTTCTCCTTGGCACCTTCCAGGAAGTGCCACCACTCTTCAAGGGCTCGGACAATTGCGAGCATCTCCTTGTCGTATACCTCATAGTTGCATTCCATGTC